CAGTGGAATAAAGTTTCTGACGAAATTAGATCAAACTTTACATATTTGAATAGGATCCTATTTCACTATAGAATAATACATTTACCGAGATATTAACTAAGCAAAAGGCACAGAGACCTGCAAAGACAAACAGAATATTCCCGTTTTTTCTGCAACTGACTCTGCCGAGTCTTTAGCTTTGCGCTTTCTAAATGGAGCACATAAAGGTCACCGGTCCCTCTGGTTTCACATAGGCTAAAAATAAAAAAAAAGTCTCTGCTGTGTAAAATTGGGGGCATTTTTCCACTGGAGATGGCATTGTGTACCACACCAGACTCAGAAACACACACACACACACACACACACACACACACACACACATGCACACACGTACGCACTGTCAAACCTTCCTTCGTCCTGCTCTGCTGTTACACCCGTACGCACTCCACTGTACCCAGTCACAGATGCCCCATCTATACCTTAGTGACACAGCACTCAAGATAAACAGTAACTTCAAAGCAAATTAACCTGCCCTTTGGAATGTTTTTGTGATGCCCCCCCCCCCCCCCAGAGCTGTCCAGTCCATGCTCGTTCCCTGTCTGCCTCCTGTGTTACCAAAGTTGACATGCAGGGGTGGAATCATACCTCTGACTAATGGAGAGAGACCCGCTGAGTCTGGACACAGGACACCGTTCCCCCAAGTGCCTTCCCCACATTTCATTTCATAATTGCCCCATGTTTGTGTGAACGCGTTTGTGCTTTTACTCCAGGAAGAGAAATGGGTCTAAAGTTAACGAATATGGCAAAACTTTCACAATCTTGACGCCTCGTCATTAACCCTTGGTTCTGTGGCCTGGCGTGTCTTGCTGATGGTAGCCATGTTTCTCTGCGCAAATTGCAGTACCACTGCTACTGGAGATTAGAGGTGACAGTAACAAGGCGGGGAGTTTGGGAGGGACTGACAATTAGGATGGACAAAGCAGGGGCACCGGGGATACAATCAGAGCCCCATCCTCCGCTTCCTTCAACACAGTTGTCTGGGAAGCGACTGCCTTTCTGCTGTCACTACGTAACACAAACACCCAGCGCAATTTGTTTCCCTCTAATGGCCTCTTCTGCAATCAGCATAGAGCTCTTCCTCAGCCCCAGTCTCTTGGGGCACATCAGATCCACAGTGAAATTCATTCACTCGCGCTAAATGCCTTCGACTCTTTACCAAAGGCGGGATCCTCACTATTTGGAGAAATGCCTCAGAAATGGATGAAGGTAAATAATTTGTGGAAGAAGCACTAGTAGTGCACTCTGCATTGCACCAGAGAGGGCCTTTCAACTGAAAACAGGCCAGCAATTTTTGTCTATTGGACATGAAGTGAGAATTGGTGAGATGACCCTATCCGGCGATGGCCAATAATATCCCATCATACACCTGTGTCGTGCCCTCTGGAGGCTACACATCACTGATGGGTAATGTGGCACAGGGGATGGACACCTTAGTTTCACTAGTGTATCAAAAATGGTGAAATCACATTTTGATATGATATTTCACTTAAGTTGCCATTATACATTAAACTGTCCATTTTCTACACGTATCTGCCTTTTAATGTTTTTTTTTCTTTCCTTTTTTTGTTGGATGGAGTCTACTTTGTAGAATTTCAATTTAGTACAAGATTCTGTATAGAATTGGAGGATCTACATACATTAGGCATGATTGGGAGTGTCACTCACTCCTCTGCTGTGGACGTCTATTTCTGCGCTGTCAGCATTGCATATATTGCATACATTAGGTCAGTGATTATCAACTGGAAACCATTTTCAGTGGCTCTTTACTGCCCACCCCCCCAACAAAGTCGACAGCTTTTACCCCCATCTCCCAATCATCACCAGAACTTTGATCATGAATTTGGGTCATGATATCAAGGGATTTAGTTTATTTCTTTTTCAGCGCATTGAGCTAAACGATCAAGGATCACTTCAGCATAGTTGGATGAATTTTTATTGTTATCTTCAGTGGTGGGGCAGCACTGTGGCATCGCGGTTAGGAATGCTGCCTCACACCTCTCCGACTCGGGTTCGAGTCTCCACAATGGCTCTGTTTGTGTGGAGTTTGCATGTTCTCCCCGTGTTTCACCCCCACAGTACGAAGTCATGCTGAAGTTAACTGAAGTTCCTAAATTGCCCATAGGTGTGTGTTTGTATGAGTGAATATTGTATGCGTGTTCATGATGGGTCGGACTTCAAGGAATTTAGCTTGCTAAGTTATTAGCATATTCAATTAACTGATCAATGATCACTTTAGCATAGATGGATGAATTACTATTTTCAATGGCTTAAAAAAAAATCCCCACTGCCACCCCCCCACGCCCGAAACATACCTCCCTATCATCACCAGAACTTTGATCATTAACTGGGGCTGTGGTCAAGGAACAATGTGGATCCTGAAACAGAACCTCTGTGTTAGGGCATGAAGCAATGCATGCTGGGTCAAGCTTCAGTTGCATGTGACAAGCTGCTGTGCATATTTTTTGAATGAGAGCCTTAATATACTATGATTTCCTTTCCTGAACCATGCCTACTATTCACCCTCATCTTCAAATTGGCTTAAATGCTAGGCTCCTGTGCCAAAGCCTTTTATCATCATCTGCAGATCTGTACAAGCTAATAACCACATCAGAATGGAGCAGAACATGTCAAGATTAGGCTTCCTGCTCTCAACAATAGCCTCCATTTCACTTCCTGCTTCAGAAGATGCTTCCTCCTGTTCTATGTTTTGATATGACTGCCGTAAGACCCAAAAATTTCACACAGAATTTAAGATTTTCATGCCAGAGAAGTTCTGATTGTTCTAATCATCTTTTGGAAGAATTTTTTTTGGGCATGAAATGACCACTTTTGCGTGATATTTTTAGTTTTTGGTTGTCTGTTTTTTATTTAAAACTATGCACAGTTTTAGGAGTGATTCACTTCTTGAATCTATCTGTACACTGCTGTCTTTCTATCTACTTTCTCACTGTTTTGTATAGATGATCTGTTAAGGTGAGAAGCATTGGGCAATTGTAGGATTTGACCCTAAGGAAGACTCAGCCCCCAAGAAATACAGGACGAAATTACTAAATGGAATTAGTGTACATTTTTTAAGGGGGCTGAGACAAAAAATAGCATGACTGAAATCCATAAATACCGTCTAGAATCGCATACAGTGAGAAGTACATAGCTCAGGATGTCAAACAACTGGACAAAAGTGGGCGTGAAAATGAAGCAGTTCAGATTACATGTCAAACCCCATATGCTGTATTGCACTTTAGATTACAGCAGGGCCACAAATATGATTGGATGGCAGGTGCATGCTGCATATGAGATTTATTCACATATTACACCTGTCAGCTCATTCAACTCAATATAAAATCATTCACAATATTTTTGAGATACCTTGACAACTACACAAAGTAGTTTAACTGTGCTATGTCAAGATAAACTTCAGAAAACTTGAAAGAAATTAATTTTATGCATGTTAACCCAGTATATTTCGGCCTTAAAAAATTCATTTGCTTAGGTTCATATTATACGATCAAAAATGTTCAGTGCAATTCGTTGTTTGTTGTCTCCAGATTAATCTAGAAAGTACCAATATAAAAAACGTAAAGTGTGAAAAATTAAATGAGGACTTCAGTCTCCCCAGTATTTTACTCTTTCCTCAGTTCAAAGATCCTTTGGCAAAGACCTGAAAAGCTCATATCTAGATTTTCATTTAAAGAAAAATGGTCTACACTTCAAGACTTAATTGATTCTGGTAACCCTTATAAGGCGCATTAGCTATATTATGTTCCTTTAATTGTCTAAATCATCTCATCCTGGCATCGTGTTACGAATTATGAAGAATATTGCACTCATTCTCTCTTGTCCCTAGTAATGGGAATTCTCTGCTGGATAGCTCTGCCTTATCGAATGGATAATGGCACACAGAGATGGGAATATCCAGTATCATGGCTAGGGATGAGTTACGGGGCTTAAGTCCCAAATGTTTTTAGTGAAGTCGCAGTTCATTTTTTACAATCACTTTTGCAATCATCATCATTATCATGCATGACAACTTCTGGACTAAACTCTGAATATCCTCTAATCATCGAACTGTGCCTGTCTAGGTCCCTTAGCACAGATGAACAGGGTTCCCCTGATTTCTGGATGCTTCCCTTCTACTGTGTATTGAGGGCAGAGAGTCCATTAGTGAATTAGGGGGAGTTGCTATAGGGTGGATGAAGACTTTCTGATGTCCTTTGTATGTTACGTATTTCAATGACAATTCCGTTCTGTTTTACCAGTGTATGACTGATGAATCAATCAATGAAATTGCCACTCAAAAATGGAAGGTCTTTGGATTTGACCCTCTGCCAGTCAATAAATAATGCAGCGCGTGAGTACATGGGGAACACAATAGAAAACGTGGCATTAGGTGTGCATTGGGTGTGTGGGAGTCAGCATCCAGAACGACAGAAATGGCAGCTTTTAGTCACGGATGCCGATGTCATGTACCGCTACACTCGTGAATAATGTAGGTGTGCGCATCCATTAGCATACGGAGTAAGACTTTTCCGCTATGGAATTATTCGGATACCTGCGCAGAATAGATTAATATAGACACAAGAATATCTGCATCGGAATTTATCGTTGACTATCGTTGACAAATTCTGTAAAACCCGGACTTAAACGTATATGCACGTAGTTTTAAAAGATAATGTTTTGAAGCAGTGAACTTCCATACCGATTTACCTGTTTAACAAAAGATAATACAATATTACCCTTATTGAGAATGCTTTCTTAAACCATCTATCGTTTTCCTTATCGTTGCAAATTATATGTGATATCCTTATAACCTGTACGGAAATCGCCCTTCCATTTGCTGACAAATGGCTACCTCTCTGATCGGGAGTTTATACAGTTTCGCCCTGTCGTGTCTTCGTGCAATGACATTGTTTAACGCTGCACGGAGCAGTTTGGTAGTTCGACAATCAACTGATCTTTCCTTCTTACGTCGGCTCCCCTCCCCCGGAGTTCGATGCGCTCGGCTATCGGCTCTGCCTCGGCTTCTCAGTGCGGGCGACAGCGCTGGTAAACATGGCGTCTGAAGGGATGATTTTAACAAACCACGACCACCAAATCCGTGTTGGAGTTCTGACAGGTAAACGCAGAATGACCTTGAATCCCCTGCTTTTACCGTGGCGACCCGTGTGGAGTAATTTGTGCCTGTTGTCCGCGCTGTCGCTCCCCGTGTTGCCGCTTTATTTCACGGTGTGCTTGCCGTGGTGCTCTGCTCTCCCTGTACAAGCTCGGGTTTGCTTCAGTTGTTCCTCGTCTCCTCAGAGGCGATGGTGATTTAAAGCTTTCCGTGATCTTTCGTGCCTTGTTTGGACGTTCGCGGCTAAGGTGATGTCCATTTTTATTGCTGAATAGGAACACGCTTATGTCTGGCGCGCTGTTCAATTTTTGTGTCAAGAAACAGTTTTGTGTGATGAATTATTCATGTCCCGTAAGCAGGCAAGCAATCCTGCTAGGTGGTGAATGTTAGCTAGTTCAATACTTTTCAAACATGAAAAATCGACGAACCCGCTTAACTTAATGTTACATGTGAAGCAGTCTCATTAAGCGGAATTAGACATATCGATCCAGTATGCATCTAATTTGTTGTAAATGCAAATCATTGCAATCAAATGCATGCTTTTTAAAGCATGCTTAAATTGTCAGCGTAGGTATAATTGAATATTTTTCTTTAGGTGGAAAAAAATGTTGGCATGTGCGCGGAATTTGTCTACTATCAGACGTGTGTTTCTCAAACTGAACGCTTTGCAAACGCAGCTTCCCCGCTATTATGACGGCAGAACGATATTCTTCACATCTGGGATAAAGGTATTTTTTGTTTTTCTGCTTTTCGGCATCATTCGACTGTACTATTAGTGGCTAAAAATGCTTCGAACATAATGTTCTACCGTTATTATCACAAGTATGGTAAGTTGGAGAGGTTATTTCCGAAAGCAGCTGCTTAGTTATTCACCATACATCAGGACGATGTGGCCTTTTCATTTATTGCCTCTCTTTAGGTGGTTTTCCGGCTTTTGAATATGGGCACTATTGATCCAGTTCTCCGGGCAGCGAAAAATCAACGAGACATGCGTGAATGTTAGCATGCTTCACACCGTCACTGTTGTCAGCTAAAATAAACCGTTTAATTTTGCGTGTCAGAAAGTTTGACGATCTGTACCTTGTTGATATTTGCATGCTCTTCGTAAAGATAATAGCTTGACTGACACTGATTTATGTGGCTTGCATAAAACAGCATAAGGCATAAATCTAGCAGGGAAACCCCGCACCCCCTCCCCACCGG